CATCAATCTATCATCCATCATCTATCCATCATCCATCACTCATCCATCATCCATCACTCATCCATCCATCATCAATCTATCATCCATCATCTATCCATCATCCATCACTCATCCATCCATCATCAATCTATCATCCATTATCTATCCATCATCCATCACTCATCCATCCATCATCGGATGGATGGACAGATCGGTATCTGTGACCAGATTCTTCAGCTTCACTGCAGGAAAACCTTCCTATCAGCATCTAGCAACTCTTGAATGAAACCAGGACGATGAGCTACAACAACACTCAATTTCCCTTTGGGATTAATAAAGTATTTTTGAATTGAATCCATCAGTCATCCATCATCAATCTATTATCCATCAGTCATCCATCCACCCCCCCCCCCCACCCCCGGCGATAAGTGAAAAACCGTGAAGTAGGGAGACAGTAGTCCAAGTTCAAGTTCAGTAAACGTAGTCCTGACATGTGGCAGGCTGTGATCACACTCATCACCTCCCAGTCTTCCTCCTTCTGTGTAAATAAACAATTTAAATTAAAAACTGTAACATTTTAGATAAACAATCCACACAGCATGGATTGTTTATCTAAAATGTTACAGTTTTTAATTTAAATTGTTCATTTAAAATGTTAGTTTTTAATTTAAACTGTTTATTTAAAACGTTACAGTTTTTAATTTAAATTGTTTATTTAAAACGTTACAGTTTTAAATTTAAAGTGTTTATTTAAAACGTTACAGTTTTAAATTTAAAGTGTAGAGAAGAGAAGTGCAGCAGGACATGACAGGATGTCACGCAGCTTCAGCGGAGCAGAAACTTCTGGATCAATGACACAGAAACAACTGAACAGAGAAGTTCTAAAATAATTAAAAATAACTTTTAACACCTTTGTATTTTGTGATTATGATGATTTTTACCATGTGACATACTTTGAATTTCAAGTTGGAAGACAAAAGTCGATCGGTGCATCTGGACACCAGAAAGCTGCAGGAGAAATGTGTGTGAGGCAGAGGAGATCAGCTGATCAGCTGCAGGAGGGAGATTAACCTGCACTTGTGGGCTGCACACGGTGCAAAATAATTTAAAATAATTTATTTAAAATAAACAACCCATGGCTCATCCATCAATCAGCCAACTGTGTCCTGTCCAATTTTATTTTGAAAATCCGTGATATAGTGAACCACGAAGTAGCGAGGGACTACTGTAATTTAACTGGTTGAACATCTAGGTTTACCTCCATATGTAAATACTTGAGTCAATAAGTATCAGAGAGCAACAAGAAGTAGCCTGACCAACAGCTCTCCTTGTGTGAATAGAACACGCTCTGCCTCTCTCACACATCCTATTTTTACAACCATACCACCTTTACTGGTTTGAGTATTCTCCCATTAATCAAATGGAATGGATTTGTTCACAAAGAAATAGAAACAGTGCTGGATGAACTAATATTTCATGGTAAATGTGTGTGTGTGTGTCCAAATGAATATTTTTTAATGTGAGGGGGACTCGTCCCCTTCACATATAGTTGTTGCAGCACCTATGCCTGGACGCTCTGGATGCTGAACTGATCCCATCACTCTGTGGATCAGGAGTGATGTCGACTCTGCGTCACTTTGGCAACAAAGCAACTTTTTATTTGTGTTGAAGGAGGAAAACGGAGCCTCCTTCTCTGTAGAGGATCATCTGCTTCATGTAACCCTGTCCCAACATCCTCTGAGGTCACACTGACCCTCTACACTGTCTCTTCCTCTACATCGTGAACCTTCTAGTCTCCCTCTGGCAGCTCCATATTCAGCATCCTGCTTCGTGTATCCAGCGACCCTCCTCTGGACTCCTTCAGACCATCTCAGACTCTAACTTTGTCTCCAAACCGCTCCGTCTGTTCCTCTGTTAAACCTGTTTCTCATCCTGCCCGTTTTGGTCTCTCCCAATAAACGTGACCATCTCTGCCACCTCCAGCTCCTCCTCCTGTCCTTCTGTCAGCGCCAGCATCTCCAGCCAAACACCCTCAGGTGTCACTCCCGTCTTGTTCACACCTGCAGCTCTCCTTCTGTTGCTCAGACACAAGTTTCCATGCACTCCACCTCTCTGGGCTCTCTTCCACCTGCTCCCTACTCTCACTACAGATTCCAACGTAATCTGCAAAAATTAAAGTGTGTGGGAACTCTCGGCTGCCCGGATCTCTCAGCCCGTCCATGACTTCTGCATGCAAAAAGCTGATTCCTGATGTAACCCCACCCCTATCCTGAACCCTGTGTCTCTCCCACTGCACACCCCACCGGTGTCTCAGAGGTAACTCTGACTTCTTCCTTGTGCAGTACCTCACATCTTCCCTTAGCTCTTCAGAGCAGTGGACAAAGAGCTGACATTTAATTCTGGCTTTGAAAGAATTCACTTGAGCAGCTCGTGCTCTCAAGTCTCTGATTCTGAACCTTCAGGATCAGGTTTCAGACTGAGCTGTTCCTCTCCAGTGAGCTCTCAGCGGTTTGGTGGACGTACCTGGATGTAGCGAGCCACCAGACTGGCGGTGTAGTCCAGGCAGCTGCCCTCCAGGCCGTGAAGGATGAGGCTGCCGTACTGCTCCACCTGCAGACAGAGTCAGATTTACTCTTCAAAGTGAGAATAACGTGGATCTGCCTCCATCCAAGCCTGTTCATCACTGGTCACTGGATAGCAGACACTTCACCACAGCTCTTCTAGAAAACACAGACACGCAGGGACCTCTACACAGTAGGGAGAGATCTAGACAGAGATCTGTGCACAGATCCCTGAGTCTGTGCAGAGACCGTTTCTTTTCAAGCCAAAGTTCATTTAGTCTCTGGGTCACACTTAAAGCCAGTGTCTAGATCTCTTCCTACAGAGATCTGTGCACAGATCTCTGTCTAGATCTCTCCCTACAGAGATCTGTGCTAGATCTAGACAGAGATCTAGACAGAGATCTGTGTAGAGATCTGTGTAGAGGTCTGTGCACAGATCTCTGTAGGGAGAGATCTAGACAGAGATCTAGACAGAGATCTGTGTAGAGGTCTGTGCACAGATCTCTACACAGTAGGGAGAGATCTAGACAGAGATCTGTGCACAGATCCCTGAGTCTCTGCAGAGACCGTTTCTTGTCAAGCCAAAGTTCATTTAGTCTCTGGGTCACACTTAAAGCCAGTGTGGTGCTCTGACAGCTTCTCTACATGTTCTCATTAATCTTTGAACGTTTGCTTTACTTGTCTGTAAGCACAACGTTTGTGTGTGTGTGTGTGTGTGTGTGTGTGTGTGTGTGTGTGTGCGTGCGTGTGTGTGTCATGGTATACCAGGCGTGCACAGTTGTGCAGCAGTGGCAGGGGGAAGAGGGACTCCAGAGCAAACTCATCAAGACACGACTCAAGCAGACCTGTGAAGAACACACACGTCTCCTCAGACCTGAGGAACGTCAGCAGAACAAGTCTGAACATTTTCATCCATCCATCATCCATCCAACCATCCATCCATCATCCATCCATCCTAAAAAACCTGATGGTGACATTGTTAAATACCTTTGCAGTTTGTTTGAGTTAAAAACAGTTTTTTTCATTGCTTTAAACTAAATTATATTCTTCCTCATTTTATTATCCCCACCACTGAAAAAGGTGCTAACCTTTTTGCTCGTATACGTGTGCATGTATGCATTTGTCTGTCTGTTAGCACAATATCTCGAACTGACATAACTTTGGAGACAATCCAGTTCAAGAGGGTCATCACAGCTCATCCATCTTATAACACCGTGCGTGGTAGTAGCTGAGCGTCATCCTCAAAACACCCTCTGAGTGTTAACACATTTAGCAGATGCAGCCCCACACCAAAAGAGAAGTCAACACCTGACGTATTTTTTAATCATTTGGAGGGGATTTCCCCCACTTGGCTCTGCAGTGTGTGTGTGTGTGTGTGTGTGTGTGTGTGTGTGTGTGTGTGTGTGTGAAGATAAACATCTGGTCTAACTCAGAAACAAACACAAACAGAGCAGCTTCTTCTCAGAAACACTGACAAACTGTACCGGTGGATCAGCGTAACTGCTCCGTGTGAGGCCCTTTGATTCCTTTTCAACATTAAAAATATAAATTATATTCTGACAGTAATAAAACTTCAAACAGGACATAAGAATCTAGTTCAACTGCTTAAATCCCATGAAGTACGTAGACCGTGGTTATGTTAAATGGTAAATCATGTGACTCTAATTAATCGGTTATTAATTTAGAACAGTTTTGCTGATCAAAGAACTTATTTGGCTGATTTCCTCTCATGTGTTGATGAACCGGATCCATGTGACCCATCAGATCCATGTGATCCATCAGAGCCTACGCTGCAGCCAGATCCAAAGCACAGTCTGTAGCTGGTGTTCATCCCCAGAGACGGCAGCTCTGAGCCAGTGATGAGGAAACGCCGCGGTGTTGCCAGGTTTGTACCTTTGAGGCGGACGGTAACGCACTGACTGACGGGCTTTCTGACCAGGTCCCAGGGAGAAGAAGGCAGCTCCTGACCGGGCAACCACACAGTGTCTCCTGGAGGACAGACAAGAGGACATCAGACGTCAATCACACACACTCTGCAACAAAATGCACGAGTTCAATCATCTGCACAGCTTTAAATCAAGAGAGACGTCCGGGTCCCTCCACACTGATGGTTCAAACAGTGAACGGCTGCAGTTTCAAGACTGTTTTTCTGAAGGACCAGAGTCCAACGAATCCTTAAAGATAAAAAATAAAATCTGGCTCATCTGAGGGAGCCCAGAGTGACCGGAGCGAGCAACTTTACCCACCACCAGGTGCACTGGTGGAGCCAGGGGGAGGTCAGTGGTGGCCTTAGCCTCCATAGATTAATCTTTGGCCACCCCAAAGGCCACCCCAAGAATTTGAGGAAGTTTTACTTTTAAGCAATATAAAATCTATAAATCCATCCATCATCTTTACCCGCTTCTTTCATTTTGGGTCACGGGGGTCACTGATGCCCATGTTCAGCAGTCACTGTGTGAGAGGCGGGGGACACCTGGACATGTCTCCAGTCCATCACAGGGACACACAGAGACAAACAACCAATCTCTCTCTCTCTCTCTCTCTCTCTCTCTCTCTCTCACTCACACCTAGGGACAATTTAGAGTTACCAATCAGCCTAACATGCATGTTTTTGGTCTGTGGGAGGAAACTGGAGTACCTGGAGAAAACCCACGCAGCACGGAGAGAACATGTAAACTCTACACAGAAACCCCCCCCCACCCCTCCCGGCCCAATTTGAACCTAGGTAACCTGCTCACTGAGAGGCATATATAAAGCAGTTTATTTAAATAATGAAATGGCTGGTTTACACACACACACACGTATATGGAGGTGGCCATCTTGGATCTTGCATGTTAACTTAGCAATCAAGTTTTCGATGATGACCTTTCTTACATCTAGGGTAAAAACAACATTTATGCTTATCTGGCAACCTTGAAGCTGGGCTCAGCTGCATGTGTTGAGCATGCAGCGTCAGCACGATCACAGTTGTATTCAAACTACTGAACACATGGATGTTCCTTTGGTCCTAGGCTGTTGTTGGTTTCGTGCAGAACGTTTCACTGCAGATGCCTGTACAGCGCATGTGCCACTTCACACCTGTGCAGTATTTCAAACCTTTGCAGGGAGGTCTCCCCAAAACGCCCCCACTCTGAGACCAGGGTTCAGAAGCCTTTGGTTTCAGAGAGAACAAACGATGCCATCGAGTACACAAACGGCCGAACCGCGGCAGAAATGCTCCAGTTTTGCTCCAAAAACACATCGTGTGAACCGGGCCTTGGCTACTTTTACAAGTGAGGCAATCAGGGGCAGCAGGTATCGTCGTCATGGAAACACAAGTCTCAGTCTGTGTCTGCAGAAAACTCCCCGCTGAGCTCATCAGAACAAGCAGACACAAAGGATGAATAAAGACAGTGTGATGAAGAACAGAGCCGTTTCCTCACCGATGGAGAAGGAGGCGAAACTAGCGGAGCTGAGGCCCAGCAGTGAACGCTGCGCCTCCTCTCTGGCTGTCGGAGACGCTCCACACAGGATCTGAAGGTGGGAGGAGAACAGGTGGCTGAGGGCGGCGCTCAGCTGGGTCCAAGACGTCGATCTGTCCACCATTGTTCTGCCCAGCACCATGTGAAGACAGGAAGGGCCCTCCTTCTCCTCAAAGGCTTCAACAGGACCCACGGGGCCTGGTCCTCCATCTGAACACTGCAGACGCACCACGACCCGGTACGACTCTGAAGGAAGAGGGATCATCGTTGAGGCTGAGCAACATCACTACAGTTAAGACACAAACTGGACCATTTCAAGGAAAAGAAGTGTTTCACAGTGCGTTAATGATCCATCATCCCTCCATGAAGACGACAGTAGAAAGTTTAAGAACGCCTTCAATCTCCCCCACAGCAACAAACAGAAAACCTCCTTCCCCCACAGCCACCCCCATCATGACTGCATGCACGTTTCCTGTGCACAGAGGCATTTTCAAACTCTTCACTTCCGGGTTCTCAGATAACTCTGACCTCCTGGACAAACAGCCTTCTCATATGACGGCCTGCTCGTGCCTTTTCTTAAGTGGAGCTGGACTAAATTAGGATCAAAGGTGCCCCACAATGCATCCTGGTATTACCACGTGAAGACCGAGGCGTGCCCTGCGGACCACTCACCGAGGTTTTCCAGCAGCTCTTTGCAGTCATCAGTTGCCACATCATGAATAGTGCGATTGCACTTGTCCCTCCTCTCGATGTCCTGTTCACTGTGGCTGCACAGCACCTCCAGACACTCCTGTACACAAACACACCGCACACCACTCAACATGGCTGCCGAGGTGGGAGTGACGTAGCTGGACGTGAACAACAGAATAATGTGCACAGCCAAGAATGCATCTTTGCAAGTCGTGCATCTAAAAAGAGGCTATGACTTCAAGAAGTGGTCATTTGAAGCCGCACGGCTCGCTGCTCACTTCATTCCAAACACTCAGAACTCAGAGAGAAGCGTGCGACTAAAACTTTGTTCACTCGCTCACAGTTTTGAGTGTCGAGCAGACACAGCTCAGGAGACACGGACTGAAGTTCTGGAGCTGCTCATTTCAACAGCACAATGATGATGAATATTTACATTCCACACTTGAATCTCCATCTGACTGTTGTCTGTTCTGATTAAAGTTCAAAGTCTACAGCCTCCAAGGACAAGAAGACTTTAATCGTTTCATTTAACTGTCACTAACAATAAAGTAAGTCTTTAGGTAAAAAACTTCAATATCCTGAGAGAAATGACTGTTAAGGAAAAAAAGCATTCCTGTGTGTACGGGGCCTGAAGGAGACACTTTTCTAGATTTTTAAGCTTATAGAACAGTCAATACTGGTGAGGGAGTCAGTACTGGTGAGGGGGTCAGTACTGGTGAGGGGGTCAGTACTGGTGAGGGAGTCAGTACTGGTGAGGGAGTCAGTACAAGTCAGGGAGTCAGTACTAGTGAATGAGTCAGTACTGGTGAGGGAGTCAGTACTGGTGAGGGAGTCAGTACTAGTGAGGGAGTCAGTACTAGTGAGGGAGTCAATACTGGTGAGGGAGTCAGTACT